CCAGTCCAACTCCCTGCTCAAGCAGGAGACCCTCTACCATTTCATACAAATGACTAGTCTTTTCTTAAAAACCTCCAATGATGAAGCACCTACAACTTCTGAAGGCAAACTATTCCACTGGTTAATTGTGCTGACTGTTGGGAAATTTCTGCTTAATTCCAAGTTGCTTCTCTCCTTGATTAGTTTCCATCTGTAGTTTTTTGTCTTGCCTTTTGGTACGTTGGAAAATAAGTTGATCCTCCCCTCTTTCTTTGTGGCAGCCCCTCAAATTCTGGAATGCTATTATCATGTTCCCCCTAATCTTTCTTTTCCCTAGACCAGACATGTCAAACACAAGGGCCGGGGGCCGGATGCGGCCCACGAAGTGGTTTCATGTGGCCCGCGTGGGAACGGCCCCCGCTGCCTTGGCCCTGGCCTAGGCCAGCCGGAAGCCAATGTCCAATTTTGTGGTGGCCATATTGGCACTTGCCCCAGTGGACCATGCCTTGGCACTTGCCCCAGTCCCACCCCCTTCTGCCAGAGACCCTCAGATCTGTTCTATTCCTGCCCAGGCCCCCATATGCACCCTTGACGCGAATGATGTAGAACTCGCCACACCCACCCAGTAAGCCACACCCACTCCATCCACCCCCACCCAATAGACTTCACCCACTCTGACTACACCCACCCCCCCCCCAGGACAACCGCAATGCTGATGCGACCCTCAGTGAAATTGAGTTTGACACCCCTGCTCTAGACTAGCCATACCAAATTCCTGCAGCCGTTCTTCATATGTTTTAGTCTCCAGCCCCTTAATCACCTTTGTTGCTCTTCTTTGCAATTTTTCCAAAGTCTCAACATCTTTTTTGTAATATGGTGACCAAAACTGGATGCAGTATTCCAGGTGTGGCCTTACTAAGGCTTTATAAAGTGGTACATCACATGATTTTGATTCTATACTTCTGTTTATACAGCCAAGGGTTATGTTAGCTTTTTTGGCTGCTGCCAAAAGAATAGATAATGGAATTTCATGGGAATGAGAATGGAATGGAATAGAATAGAATAGAATAGAATAGAATAGAATAGAATAGAATAGAATAGAATAGAATAGAATAGAATAGGTCTTTATTGTCACTTTAAATGTACACTAATCAGCATACATCAAAATGAGATTTTTGTTGCATATAGCTCTCAAAGGATAATCACCTCCATTATACACTGCATAAACATAACAATAAAATAAAATATACATATACCAACATAAACACACAGATACGGCCCAGAGAAACAAAGGCAGGACAAGAAGCAACCGATGGAAAGTAACCAAGAAGAGAAGCAGCCTGGAATTAAGGAGAAACTTCCTAACAGTGAGGACAATTAACCAGTGGAACCACTTGCCACCAGAGGTTGTGGGTGCTTCATCACTGGAGGTTTTCAAGAAGAGGCTGGACAGCCATTTGAATAGAATAGAATAGAATAAAACAGAACAGAACAGAATATAATAGAATATATGGAATGGAATAGAATAGAATAGAAATAGAAATAGAAAATATGGAACGGAATAGAGTAGAATAGAATAGAGTAGAATAGAATATATGGAATGGAATGGAATAGAATAGAATAAAACAGAATAGAACAGAATAGAATAGAATAAGGGATAGAATAGAATAGAATAGAATAGAATAGAATAGAATAGAATAGAATATATGGAATGGAATAGAATAGAATAGAACAGAACAGAATAGAATAGAATAAGGGATAGAATAGAATAGAATAGAATAGAATAGAATAGAATAGAATAGAATAGAATAGAATAGAATAGAATAGAATATATGGAATGGAACGGAATGGAATAGAATAGAATAGAACAGAACAGGACAGAACAGAACAGAATAGAATATATGGAATGGAACGGAATGGAATAGAATAGAATAGAACAGAACAGGACAGAACAGAACAGAATAGAATATATGGAATGGAATGGAATAGAATAGAACAGAATAGAACAGAACAGAACAGAATAGAATAAGGGATAGAATAGAATAGAACAGAATAGAATAGAATAGAATAGAATAGAATGGAATGGAACGGAATGGAATAGAATAGAATAGAACAGAACAGAATATATGGAATGGAATAGAATAGAACAGAACAGAACAGAACAGAATAGAATAAGGGATAGAATAGAACAGAACAGAACAGAATAGAATAAGGGATAGAATAGAATAGAATAGAATAGAATAGAATAGAATAGAATAGAATAGAATAGAATAGTGCTGGAAGAGACCTTGGAGATCTTCTAGTCCAGCCCCCTGCTCAAGCAGGAGAATCTATATTTGTCTGAAATGGAGCAGGGGGCTGGACTAGAAGTGTTCTAAGGCCAATTCCAACTCTTTTGTTATTTTGTTCATTTCTGGCCCTCCGCCCAGCAAACATTTCTGGTCACCCAGCCCCACTTCCCCCGCCCCGATTTCCCCCGTTGCAAACGGCCTTCGCTAGATGGCGCACTCCTGCAAAGTTTGGCATGCAACAACTGCATCCTTGTTTTCCCAATGAACAAAGAATTGAGCCCCGGCCTGGGGGGGAAGCATCTGGCCAGGACCTTCAAGGGGAGGGCAGGAAGTGACCGTCCACACCCGCCTGTCTGTGGTCTCTCTAGGAAGAGGCTCTCTCTGCTTTTAACACTAGCCAGCGGAGAGCAGAGAAGCGGGTGCAACATCCTCGTGGGAACGTGCAATCTCCCCGCCAGACTGCAGCTGCAAGCAGGAGTGGCACTCGGAGAAGGAGCTGAGTCCACGTTCTCCCCCAAATCTTTTTTTTCCCCAGGGATCCAGAATCCTGCTTGGCCGGGGTTGCAAGCTGGAACACGGATGTTTCCCGGCCCGTCGCGGGTTCTTGCCTCTTCCCTGCTCGCTCCAGGCAAGAAAAAAATAAAATAAAATTAAAGACAGTTAAGGCAGTTTCCTTAAACGGCAACCTTGCACCAACTAAGGGATTCTCTCCTGTTCCTTGTAGCAAAGTGGGGAGGGAGGGGTGGGGAACGTGGCCCAGAAAGGAAGGGAGATCTGGGAGGGACCTTGGAGGCCATCTAGTCCATCCCCCTGCTCAGGCAGGAAACCCTATACCATTTCGGACAAATGGCTGTCCAGTCTCTTAAAAACTTCCAGTGTTGGAGCATTCACGGCTTCTGGAGGCAGGTTGTTCCACTGGTTAATTGTTCTAACTGTCAGGAAGTTTCTCCTTAGTTCTAGGTTGCTTCTCTCCTTGATCAGTTTCGATCCATTGCTTCTTCTCCTGCCCTCAGGCACTTTGGAGAATAGTACAAGGAGTGGTGACAAGAAACCCTATTTCTCTAGACCAGTGGTTCTCAACCTTTTTAATGCCGCGACCCCCAACCGGTCGAAAGTCGAGGACTACTCAACCGGTCGTAAGTCGAGGACTACTCAACTGGTGCAGCACCGTTTGCAGAATGGGATTTTTGGCGGGCTCAGCAGGGCAGAGACAGCCTGGACAATTCCTATTGGCTTTTGAAAGCCAATAGAATTAGACTCTATTCAACAGAGTCTATTCTATTGGTTTTCAAAAGCCAATACAATAAAGGGGAGTAGCACAGCTAAGGAAAAGGGGGGGGAAATGGTGGACTGCGTTGTTTGGCGACCCCCGTGAAATGGTTGTTCGACCCCAAATGGTTGAGAACCACTGCTCTAGCACTAATCTCTATGTTCCCAGATTCTGGGATCTGTTCTCCTTCCCAACCAAGTCTTTTATTTCTTTGGATAAATGCTTAGACTAGTGGTTCTCAACCTTTTTAATGCCGCGACCCCAACCAGTCGTAAGTCGAGGAATTTCCCTGCCCGGGAGTGCCGCGTATGCGTGGTGCTGCCCCCTACGTTGGCCAAGGCGTAGCTGGCAAGCGGCAGAGATGGCGCAGGCCGACCACCGGCTGGGCCACCAGCTGGCCCAGCCCAAGGGAGGTAAGGCACCCGCCGGGCCCCACGCGCGCCAACAACACTCCCTGCGCCCGCCGGCCTCCCACCTCTCACCCCTGGCCCTCTTTAATTACATTTTTAGTAGTTGCTCAGCAGGGAGGGGTGGAAACTTCCAGACAGCTCGCCTTCGCTGCAGACAACTTGCAGCACCGTTTGCAGAATGGGACTTTTGGTGGGCTCAGCAGGGCAGAGACAGCCTGGTCAATTCCTGTTGGCTTTGGAAAGCCAATAGAATTAGACTCTATTCAAGAGAGTCTATTGGCTTTTAAAAGCCAATAGAATAAAAGGGAGTAGCACAGCTAAGGAAAAGGGGGAAAAAATGGCAGACTGCGTTGTTTGGTGACCCCCGTGAAATGGTCGTTCGACCCCAAATGGGGTCCCGACCCACAGGTTGAGAACCACTGGCCTGGACCATTTCCCGCAACACTGTCAAAATACCTGATAGGACTGTATTAATATTATTACTCTTCTCATCTCTCCTATCACCTATTTCCTTATCCTCCTAATGACTATAACTTCGTTGCTTGTATCTTACAATTTATATTAATTGTTTTATTTAGTAGCCTAGTATGATTTACGTTGATTGCTTATTTAACATCCTATGACTATCACCGAGTGTTGTATCTTAGGATTTCTGATGAATGTACCTTACGATGATTATGATCATGATTTATCACTTGTTCCTTGTATGTACACTGAGAGCTTCTGCACCAGCGAGAAATTCCTTGGGTGTCCAGTCACGCTTGGCCAATAAAGAATTCTATTTTGTTCCATTCCATTCCATTCTTTATTGTCATTTTTTATTGTTGGGCACACTGGCACACATTAAAAATGAAATTCTGTTGCCTGCTCTCAAAAATATACACATACATAACAGACAGATAAACATGCTACATACATATATATATGCATATACCTACATTCTTACACATAAATACATATAACTATTAATCACTGTCCATCTTGAATATATAGCAGAAAGAGGAAGCTTGAAAGTTCACAAGGTTGATACTGTATGGAACAAAAGTGTGACTGAATCTGGATGTCCTGCTTTGGATACCACGAAGCCCCCTCCCCGAAGGTAACAAGGAAAACTGGTCGTGAGGGGGATGGGTAGAGAAAAGATTGGACAACCAATTGTCTGAAATGGTCTAGGAGGGTTTCCTGCCTGAGTAGGGGGTTGGACTAGAAGATCTCCAAGATCCCGTCCAACTCTGAATCTGTTTATTCTGAATCTGTCCTGCGGGCAAAATCCCGCAAAGCTTGAATTATCTGTTCTTCCTAAGTCAGTGGTGGCGAACCTTTTAGAGACCAAGTGCCCAAACTGCAACCCAAAACCCACTTATGCATCTCCGGGTGCCAGGTGGGCGTGGCCACTGAGTGGGTGTGGCCAGTGAGCCGTCGGCTTGTGCTCATGCTCGCTGTCCGCTCCGACTTGTGCTCGCTCTCTCGCTATCTGCAGCAAATGCTGCTTCCGTCGAAAGTTGCTCCTTTTATAGCCTCTCGCCTATTCCCAGACTGCGCATGTGTGGAGAGCAGTGGTTCTCAACCTGTGGGTCGGGACCCCATTTGGGGTCGAACGACCATTTCATAGGGGTCGCCAAACAAGGCTGTCCGCCATTTTTCTCCCTTTTCTTTGGCCACGCCCCTGGCACCCGGTGATGTATAGGTGGTTGGGGGTCACCACAACATGGGGAACTGTATTATGGGGTCACGGCATTAGAAAGGTTGAGAACCACTGGTAGAGAGGAAGAGGGAACAGCTCGGCCCAGCAATGGCTCGCATGCCACCAGAGACAGCTCCATGTGCTGCCTGTGGCACACGTGCCATAGGTTTGCCGCCACGGTCCTAAGTCAATGGACTAATTCCTAGGGGGTGGGTGCATATCTGGCTTGTGTCCTGGGAACCCTATGGGAAGGTCTATCTCAAGCTAAAGGCTTGCTAGAACCCATTGGGCTCTGAACTCAAGGCAAAGGGCTGTGGTAATGTCCAGCTCAGTAGACTATGGCTCCTTGAAATGGCTGAGTTCTTCTCAAAGCTTTTAGGAAGGTCAAGACAGACTTTATAGAGCAGCACTTCTTCCTGCAGAAGGATTCCTCGGGGTTGGACTAAAAGACCTCCCAAGGTCCCTTTCAACTGTCGTATTCCATTGTGAGGAAACTGGGTTCCCTCTGAAAAGACCCCAAGACCCCAGGGGTCTTTTCATCAAAGTCTGGGTGGGTTTTATAAAATCTATTTGGTGGAGATTTGAACAAGAATGTTGACTTGATACTGTTTTCAACCTATTTCAACCTACCGTACTTTCTGGCGTATAAGACGACTTTTGAGAGCGTTGAAATTGGTGCCGAACTTGGGGGTCGTCTTATACGCCGAGTTGTCTTATACGCCGGAAATAACGGTAGTTTCCGGCATATAACTTTCTAGGCATGCGACTCGGCGTCGAAGTCGGGGGTCGTCTTATACGCCGGGTCGCCTTATACGCCAGAAATAACAGTAGTTTCTGGCGTATAAGACGACTTTCTAGGCATGCGACTCGGCCTCAAAGTCAGGGGTTGTCTTATACGCCGGGTTGCCCTATACGCCGGAATATACGGTATTTTATAATAATAATAATAAAGTTGGAAGGGACCTTGGAGGTCATCTAGTCCAACCCCCTGCTCAGGCAGGAAACCCTACGCCATTTCAGACAGATGGCTGTCCAGTCTCTTCTTAAAAACTTCCAGTGTTGGAGCATTCACAGCTTCTGGAGGCAGGTTGTTCCACTGATTAATTGTTCTAATTGTCAGCACCCGTAGGCCAGACAAGCAACAATGGTTGGAAACTGATCAAGGAGAGATTCAACCTAGAAATAAGAAGAAATTTTCTGACAGTGAGAACAATTAATCAGTGGAACAGTTTGCCTCCAGAAGTTGTGAATGCTCCAACACTGGAAGCTTTCAAGAAGAGACTGGACAGTCATCAATCAGAAATAGTATAAGGTCTCCTGCTTAAGCAGGGGGTTGGACTAGACCTAAAACAGTGATGGCGAACCTTTTAGAGACCGAGTGCCCCAAAACTGCCCCCGCTCCATCCCCTGCCCACCTCCATTCTGCCCCCCCATCCACCGCCCCGCCTGCCCACAGGACCACTCACCACCTCCAGTGCCCGCCGCAGATCGCCCAGGCAGCCCAACAGCGCTATGGCGGTCATGCCCTCTGCCTGCGCCCCGCAGCATCAACTGCATGATGGGGCGTGAGGGCAGAGTCTTGTCTACGCTGCCTGACTGCTATGTCTTTGACTGCACTGCTCCATGTGGGCCATGCTCGGGGGGCGACTCTCCTTCAGGGGGGCTGCTGGAGAGGAAGGGGTCACGGGGGGAGGCAAGGCTGGGGCAAGGGTACGTGTGCCCACAGAGAGGGCTCCGAGTGCCGCCTCTGGCACGCGTGCCATAGGTTCGCCACCACTCACCTATAAGGCCCCTTCCAACTCTGTTATGCTGTTATTCTGTTATACTTTGAAGAACTTTCAGATTCCTCTGAAGTGGATTTTTTTTTCTCTTTTTCCTCTTAGGCTGGGAGCTAAAAGCATCTTCTGAAATTCTGGATATCCCAGGACCAAGTTCTCACAACCTCAAGATGTCTTAAAGGAAGCTTTTCGTGCTGTTCCGGTCCCCAAAACACGGTTGCTTTGAAGATCTAGGGGGGGCACGTGGTGGGGTGGGTTTTTTTGAACGTAGCATTTACGCAGAGAGAAAAAGGGGCCTCACCCAACATGACAGGGGAAGGAAACAAAAGGGGTCCCAGTGTCGCGCTGATTGGGACAGCTGGGACATGCCTAGGAAAAAACATCCTAAAAGGAGAAACCGCCAATTGGATTGTACAAAATCCCTCCTTCAAGGGATGCTGCTACCAGGATTCTAAGGGACCCCGCGAGCTTTGCAGCCAACTCTATCAAATTCATCATGATTGGCTGAGACCAGAGAAAAACACCAAAGCTCAGATGCTGGACCTGGTGGTCCTGGAGCAGTTCCTGGCCGTCCTGCCTCCAGAGATGGAGACTTGGGTCCGGGAGTGTGAAGCGGAGACCTGTTCCCAAGCTGTAGCCCTCGCAGAGGGCTTCCTGTTGAGCTGGGCCAATGACCACAAGCAGGGACCACAGCAGGTGAGAAATTTTAACCATGATAATTCTCTGGGTAACATAATTACGAACAGTGTTAACTGAATATGGTTTCTTTCATGGGCTAATTACATCAGAAGATAATAATAATAATAATAATAATAATAATAATAATAATAGGCTCCTTGGATGCAATCCCAAAACAACTGGAGCACCACTTGAACACCATTGGCATTGACAAATTCGCTATTAGTCAATTGCAAAAGGCAGCCTTACTAGGAACTGCTTCCATCCTGCGACGATATCCACATCTGCCTATCCCAGGTCCTGGGTAAGGACTCAATAGGTAGACAAAATGCCAAATCCAGACTGAACATCTGGTTGACTGTGTGATGATCCATAATAATAATAATAAACAAGCTGGAAGGGACCTTGGAGGTCATCTAGTCCAACCCCCTGCTCAGGCAGGAAATCCTACACCATTTCGGACACATGGCTGTCCAGTCTCTTCTTAAAAACTTCCAGTGTTGGAGCATTTACTGCTTCTGGAGGCAGGCTATTCCACTGATTAATTGTTCTCACTGTAAGGAAGTTTCTCCTTAGTTCTAGGTTGCTTCTCTCTGGTTTGTTTCCATCCATTGCTTCTTGTATGAACATTAATTAATTAATTAATTGTCTGTCTCCTTGATTAGTTTCCATCCGTTGATGATGGATTTTGTGTTTTGTTGAATTGATGATGATTTTGTGTTTCGTTGAATTATTATATTACCCTTCTTAATACCTATATTTCCCCCCAAATAAGACCAAGTCTTATATTGATTTTTGCTCAAAAAAATGCATCAGGGCTTATTTTCCATTTACATCTTATTTTGGGGGGGAAACGGTACTAAATGTGTCCGTCTGGCTGACGATCTTAACTGGGGCTTATTTTTGGGATAGGGCTTATATTATGAGCATCCTAAAAAAAACCATGGTAAGGCTTATTTTCCAGTTAGGTCTCATTTTGGGGGAAATGGGGTATCTTCCGTGACATGTTGAAGAAATCCGGTCTTTCTTCCAGAGAGGGCTATGGAGTTGAGAACAATAGAACAGAATAGATGTAATTTAGGGTTGAATTTTGGAGTCCTTGGTACACTCTGAGCTTAATTATTTTCTTGTGGACATTTCATTGCCCGACAAACATCTTCAGTTCTAGAGGGGAAGTCGAGTTTACTCTCTGTTTATAAAAGTAGCTTTCCCTTTCAGTGGAGGGATTGTTTTCTCCTTGGTAGTTCCTCAATTACGTTGTTATTTACTGTTTGTTTGTCTGGTGTTAATCCCTGCTTCTCTGGGTGTTGATTGCTGGCTCTTAAGAACAATAACATCCCTTTTCTACTTCTCTCGTGGGGGCTATTGCAGGTTCAAGAGTCCTTCCTGTTGGTCGCAGAACACTCTGAAGCACGGGGGGATCTGCTTTATCCCTCTCAGGAGCTGAGTTTTCAGAAAACACCCCAAGAGGGTCCATCTGAGAACTTAGCAGGTAATGGAGGAGTCCTTCTGATACAATGGGAATTAACACGGTCTCCTTTCTTTTGTGAAAGTACTTTAACTCTTGTGAACGAATGGCTTTTGTTTCTCCGTAATGTTCTTTGAACAATTTTTTATTTCAGTCTCAAAGAATAGACCATTCATAACCCCTGTGGGACCATCTTTCTTTTGTGGTGCAGAAACAGCTGTTGTGCTTCCAACTCTGGTAAGCTAAAACATAACTGAGGGTGAAGGTTCGTTCTCCGAGCTCGTGGGTTCGTTTCTGAATGTTCAGAGACTCCAAGGCACAATTCCAAACAGGGTGAATCAGAAAGCACAATGATGAAACAAACAGCTAGAAAACCAACACATTGTTCCCAGCAACACCTCCCTCTGTCTGCTGTGATAAATAGCCAGCTTTCTGGTACAGCCCATCAAGACAGGCAGGGCCTTCTCCTCCTGGCTGACCTCCATTGCTCCTGCCTTTTGTTTGCCCTGCATGTTTTCAGATCAGATGCAGAAGGCAGTTCCTTCTCCTCTTCATTGGCTGTCTGCCACTGCAAGCTTTCCCCAGCTGAAAACTCCTCCAATTCTCTTTTGGCCGGCTGTTCAGAGCCATTAATCAACTTGGTTCCTGATGTGCCAGGAATGAACTCATCCTTCCTTGAGCTGACCTGTGAGGAGGAATATGGGAAGTCATCTAAGGGAGACTGCAGCTGCTTCAGCTCTTACTGTAAGATGAATATTTTAGTCCCTGAGGGATAACATAAACTATTGTTTAAAATATCAAACAGGGATCTCCCAATGTTTTGTTCAGCTGTGGTGGATAGTACACCCCTTCACTTGACCTGGAAGGATATAGGGTGTCTCCCTCCTGAACAGATTGTGACTCAGGGAGTTTGATGTCTATCTATTTTCTCTGTCCAGGAAAAAAATCATGTTTACTTCAAAATAAATTTTGGGATTAATCAATCAAAAGAGACCTTGACAATCCTTCCTGGAGCTGTTTATTAACCGATAACGCTTTCTTCCTGTTTCAGAATTCCCTGTCCTTTGATGATGTAGCTGTATTCTTCTCAGGGGAGGAATGGGATCTGCTAGATTTCAACCAAAAAATCCTGTACAATGATGTTATGCTGGAAAATGCCAGGAATGTGGCCTCCACAGGTAAAGGTTGATCTATGTTCTGGCTTCGATTCAGTGGGAAAGGTATTTTCTAGTAAAATTGGTACTTTATTAGGGAAAATGTTGACCTATTATTATCGGTCAGAATAGAGCTGGAAGGGACCTTGGAGATCTTCTACTCCAATCCCTTGCTCAAGCAGGAGACCCTAGACCATTTCAGACAAGTGGCTGTCCAGACTCCTCTTAAAAACGTCAAGTGATGAATGTCTATGGAGATTCTCAGTCATCCAGATCATGGTTGTCCCAAAGGTGCTTTTTCACAAGGCAACTGAGCTCTCTTTTTTTTTCTCTTTGAAAACATTTCATTTTTCACCCAAGTAGCTTCTTCAGCTCTAACTGGATGGTGGGGAATGGAAGGATTTATATTCCTTGCAGACAGCTGGTCATTTGCATGCTTTTAGAGAGTCATTGATGCCAGCTGTAGGTTTATCTGTGTCTTCAGGGTCACCCGAGCAGTGCAAATAGGTGTGGAGCCTTCATAGAACTGTTGAAAGGGCTGTGTTGTAGACTGGAGGTAGATGATGTGGTATCCCTCCCCCTCTATTGAGAGAAGACTGTTCAGTGTTGACATAGATGGCCTCTTTGACTCCTCTTTCAAACCAGCGGTCCTCTTTGTCCAAAATGTGGACTTTACTGTTGTCGAAGGAGTGGCCTTCTATTTCTCTCTCAACAAAGGGGGAGGGATATGACATCATTATCTCCAGTCTATAACAGTCGTTTCAGCAGTTCTAAGAAGGCCCCATTTGCACTACTCAGGTGATCCCGACGACACAGATAAGCCTCCAGGTGGCCTCAACAACTCTCTAAAAGAATGCAAATGACCAGCTGTCTGCAAGGAGTATAAATCCTTTCATTTCCCCACTATCCGGTCAGAACTGAAGAAGCTTCTTGGATGAGAAGCGAAACGTCTTCAAAGAGAAAAAAAGAAAGTCCAATTGCCTCGTGAAAAAACACCTTTGGGACTCAAGTGATGAAGCACCAACAACTTCTGAAGGCAAAGTTGTTCCACTGGTTAATTGTCCTCACTGTTAAAAAGTTTCTACTTAATTCCAGGTTGCTGCTCTCCTTGATTAGTTTCCATTCATTGTTTATTCCCTAAGGGGAAGAAATTATTCTTAACTAGACAATTCTTTCCATTCACTCTGGTAGTCAGGGCTAAAACCATCTTGCTGTTTTTAGAGAGAAGATCCCTCCCATGCAGGGATATTTAGAAGCCCCAATAGGTCTGCAGCATTGATAACACAGACATGAAATTACTCCTAATTGGGCCCTACTTAACTACTTTGCTTGATTCTCAGGAGATAGTGTGACAATACACTTCTGTTTGCCTCAAGCCCTTCTTGTAATAGCTCCCGCCTACAGATCTCATGAGACCTGAGGTAAAATAACATTCTAGGATCACAGAACTGCCTTCTCAAGGGAATGCAACCTCATTCAAGTAGTTTGTACTCTGTTCTCATGTTCCCTTTCCAGTTACAGGTAGTCCTTGGCTTACAACAGTTTGTTTAGTGACCGTTCAAAGTTAAAAACAGCAGCTGAAAAGAGGGACTTATGACCATTTCCCTACACCTAGTCCAGGGGTAGGCAACCTTGGCTCTTTTATGACTCGTGGACTTCAACTCCCAGAATTCCTTAGCCAGCATGGCTCAGCATGGCAACCTCTCCCTTTCCCCTCAGCATACCTGACTCAGGAATTCTGGGAGTTGAAGTCCACCAGTCATAAAAGAGCCAAGGTTGCCTATCCCTGACCTAGAACCATTACAACATCCCCATGGTCACGTGATCCTAAATTCAGTCGCTCAGCAACTGACTCATACTTATGACGGACATAGTGGTCTCCTTTTTGTGACTTTCTGACAAGCCAAGTCCATGGGAAAGCCAGGTACACTTAGCAATGGTGTGACTAACTGAAAAAATTGCAGTGATTCACTTAACAACTGTGGGAAGAGAGGTCATAAAATGAAGCAAAGCTCACTTAAAAAAAACAGAAATGTTGCGTTCAGTTTTCGTAAGTCGAGGACTACCTGTATGTGAACATGGATAAGGAGTTAAGTTAGCACAAACAATTGAATCTGTTTCCATGTAACAGTGCAAATGGTGGTGCAAATGGGTGTGGAGCCTTCTTGGCTGCAGGATGTTTTCTGCCCTGGGTCCCTTCCCTGTTGAAGACAGGTGCAGGCTGTTGGGGATGAGTCTGTTGTCTGCCTCTCAAACTGAAGCGCAAATGGTTCCTGTAGTCTGCAGTGTTTTCTGGAGATCCGTTCATACTCCCGTGTTCATCCCAAAGTGCATAACTAAATGTCTATGGAGATTCTCAGTCATCCAGGTACGGTTGTCCCAAAGATGCTTTTTCAGAAGGTAACTAAACTTTTTTGTGTTTCTTTGAAGAAGTTGAAAAAGCACCTTTGGGGCAACCATGGCCTGGATGACAGAGAATCTCCATAGACATTTCCTGCTATTGTCATTTAGCAGACGGCATATCATAAATGGACTAGCAATATACATTACCATTTCACTTAGATTAGTAAAACATAATAAAATAGGAATTTTAAAAAGATCTATGTTGAAATATCAATGTCTAGGCCAGGGGTAGGCAACCTTGGCTCTTTTATGACTCGTGGACTTCGACTCCCAGAATTCTTGAGCCAACATGGCTCAGCCTGGAAACCTCTCCCTTTCCCCTCAGCATGGCTGCCTCAGGAATTCTGGAAGTTGAAGTCCACGAGTCATAAAAGAGCCAAGCTTGCCTACCCCTGGTCTAGGCCATCTAAACATTGAAGCGCAGCATCGTTGATGTGAAAAAGGTCAGATCTACAGTTTGACATGGGATCCCGCAGTCACACTGAGGGGAGGATATTTAGAATTTAGAATAACAAGAGTTGGAAGAGACCTTGGAGGTCTTCTAGTCCAACCCCGTGCTCAGGCAGGAAACCCTATACCAGTGGTGGCGAACCTATGGCACGGCTGCCAGAGGCGGCACTCACAGCCCTCTCTGTGGGCATGCGCGCAGTCGCCCCAGTCCTAGGTCTTCAGCTGGGTTTTATAAAACCTTTTTCGCTTTAGGCCTCCGCCGCCGTGTGCAAAAAAAAAAAAAAAAGGTTCAATCAATCAGTCAATTTCAACTTCTCACGGGGAAAAAATTATCTTGCAAAGTTGGAATGGATTGATTGAACTTTTTAGTCCCACCCAGTTCTGCCATTACCACCGCAGCCACGCACACCCAATGGGCCACACCCATCCAATTGGCCACACCCAGCCCATGGGCCACGCCCACCTGGCACCCGATGATACATAAGTGGGTTTTGGGTTGCAGTTTGGGCACTTGGTCTCTAAAAGGTTTGCCATCACTGCCCTATACCATTTCAGACAAATGGTTAACTGCTAAATCTTGTCTTGATGGATTTGTTCTCTTATGTCATGCCATATGTTTAGGAAGTAGTTGTTTTGTTTCCCCAGTGTACAGATCTGCACATGGCTCACTGCATTGTACTGCATATACCACACTGCTCAGTTTGTGTCTGGTTATTTTATCCTTGGGGTGAGCAAGCTTCTGCCTTAATGTATTCTTGGGTTTCAAGTGTGATGGGAATCTGCATAGAGTTTAAAAGTGTAATACATATTTTTCTTTCTTTGTCCCAAGGAGTTGGTTGGCCAGAGAGTGGAAATTATAATCAAGCATCAGTGGAACATTCACAAACAGGCAGGAATTATATTGGAGAAGGGATGTTTGAAAATCCATGGGCACCAGAAAAATCTGAATGCAACCAATTAAACAAGAGAAGAGAAAAATCTTGTACTCCTCAGTGGGCAGAAATCCATTTTTTCCTTGCCCAGCAAGGACTCAAAAAAGAAAGCAAGTGCTTTGCCTGTGGAAAAACACCTAGAGAAAATTCAGATTTATGTGAGTATTGCAGAACGCACAATAAAGCAAAGCAATATAAACTTGGGGAGCATGAACAAAATTACAATTGGTCCTTCCTTCAAACAACCCACACTGGAGAAAAAACATATCCTTGCACGGAGTGCGGGAAAACCTTCCGTAAGAGCAGTAATCTTAATGCGCATAAAAGGATCCACACAGGCGAGAAACTGTATCAGTGCATGGAGTGTGGAAAGATGTTCAGGTGGAGCAGCGGGCTCACCTATCATAAGAGGATCCATTCGGGAGAGAAACCCTATAAATGCTTGGAGTGCGGAAAGAGCTTCAGTGGCTTGAGTTCCTTTACTTCCCATAAAAGGATGCATTCTGGGGAAAAACCCTATAAATGCGCCGAGTGTGAAAAGAGCTACAGCAGTTTCAGTTCCTTCACTTCGCATAAAAGGATGCATTCTGGCGAGAAACCCTATAAATGTGCGGAGTGTGGGAAGTGCTTCAGTGGCTTGAGTTCCTTTACTTCCCATAAAAGGATCCACTCGGGGGAGAAGCCGTATAAGTGTATGGAGTGCGGGAAGAGCTTCACTATAAGCAGTCACCTGATTTCCCATAAAAGGATCCACTCGGGCGAGAAACCGTATCAATGCACGGAATGTGGGAAGAGCTTCACTTTAAGTAGCCATCTCACTTCCCATAAAAGGATCCACTCGGGGGAGAAACCATATAAATGTATTGATTGTGGAAGGAAGTTCAGGTGGAGCTGTCACCTGGCTTCCCATAAAAGGATGCACTCGGGAGAGAAACTATATACGTGCAAAGAGTGTGGAAAGAGTTTCATTGACCTAAGTTCCTTTACTTCTCATAAAAGGATCCACTCAGGTGAGAAACCATATCAATGCACGGAGTGTGGCAAGAATTTCAGGAGTACCACTAATGTTACTGAACACAAAAGGGTTCACTCGGGCGAAAAGCCATATAAATGCACAGAATGTGGGAAAAGCTTCAAATGGAGTAGTTGCCTTACATCCCATAAAAGGATCCACACAGGGGAGAAACCGTACAAATGCACCGAGTGTGGAAAGGACTTCCGGAAGAGCTGCTCTCTCACTACTCATAAAAGGATCCACACAGGGGAGAAACCGTACAAATGCTCGGAGTGTGGGAAGAGTTTCACTATGAGTAGTAGCCTGATTTCCCATAAGAGAATTCACACAGATGAAAAACCGTATACGTGCATGGAATGTGGAAAGACTTTCCGCAAGAGTGATAACCTGACTTCCCATAAAAGAGTACATATGCGATATAAACCATGTTAACCCAAAGATGCTTTTTCACGAGGCAACTGGACTTTCTTGTTTTTCTTTGAAGACATTTCGCTTCTCATCCAAGAAGCTTCTTCAGCTGTGACTTAATGGTAGGGAATGGAAGGATTTATACTCCTTGCAGACAGCTGGTCATTTGCATTCTTTTAGAGAGTCATTGAGGCCATCTGGAGGTGTATCTGTCCTCAGGGTCACCTGAGTGGTGCAAATGGGTGTGGAGCCTTCTTGGAACTGCTGAAAGGACCACACCCATTTACACTACACATAAACCTCCATGTGGCCTCAACGACTCTCTAAAAGAATGCAAATGACCAGCTGTCTGCAAGGAGTATAAATCCTTCCATTCCCCTCCATCCAATCAGAGCTGAAGAAGCCATGGCCACTGGGCCACGGAATGGCTGGCGAGTGCATGCAGCATGCATGCACCCCCCATTTGTGCTAGTGCCACCACATAAGCAGTAGCGGCCCTGTTTGCACAGGCTTGGGAATACTAGCACCATCGCCAGCATCATGATGCTAGCAGCCTGCATGCGCACGGGCGCTAATTGCGTTTGCGCAGGCACCATCGCCACCACCAGCACCGCCACGTTTGCGCGTGGCCCACTTGCACAGGCACATGGGAGCTAGCACTGCTGCCATATGCGCCCATTTCTGCATGTGTGCACGCACACACATTTCCTTGCTCCTCCTTTTTCCTCCAGGCCGCCAACCCAGAAAGGTTGGGGAGCTCTGCTCTATGGTGCATCAACACTTTTTTAAATTACCCAATGGGAAAATGTGAGTGATTTCTTTTATCAATTGAGTATTGCGGAGTTTGCTGGGAGATACAGGTGTCAGCAACTATAGATATGAATGCGTTCTAACATTACAGTAGCACAAGATTTCTCTGCAATTTTAAGACTTCAGCTATCCAATCCCCAGCAAGTGCTATTAGCCAACCCTTCACCATGACTTTGGACCTACAGAAGTTTGACTGAGCCCCAAATTTCTGTCACTAAGCGAGACGTTTGTGAAGTGTGCTTTGTTCCGTTGCGTGAGCTTCGTTGCCACAGTTGTTAAGTGAATCACCACAATTGTTCAATTACTCACTTGGTTGCTAGGTGGATCTGGCTTCCCCCGTTGATTTTGCTAGTCGGAAGGTCGCAAAAGGGGATCACATGACCCCGGGACACTGCAACTGTCGTAAATCCGAGTCAGTTGCCTAATGTCTGAATTTTGGTCACATAATTGTGGAGATGCTGCAACGGTCTTAAGAGTGAAAAAGTCATAAGTCCCTTTTTTCAGTGCCATTGTAACGTTGAACGGTCACTAAGTCAACTGTTGTAAGTTGAGGACCGGCTGTATTTGTTTGCCACTACTTAAAACTTCTTGCCCTAAGGCCAAATAGGACTTCTCATTCTTTCTTCCTTTCCCTGTCCAACTACAGATAGTCCTTGACTTATAATCACAATTAAGCCCAAATTTTCCATTGCTAAATGAGACAGTTGTTAAGTGAATTTTGCTCCATTTTATGACCTTTCTTGCCACAGTTGTTAAGTGAATCTGGCTTCCCCATTGACTTTGCTTGTCAGATCACAAAAGGGGGTCACGTGACCTGGGACACTGCAACCGTCATGAACCAGTTGCACGACATCTGAATTTTGATCCTGTGACCGTGGGGATGGCTGCTTCAGTGGTCGAAAGTGTGAAAAGCAGAAGTCACTTTTTTTCGGCACTATTGTTAACTTTGGTCACTAAATGAACTGTTGTAAATTGAGGATTATCTGTATCTTGTTCCTCGCTCCATCTCTTGCCCCATTCCTCCGTTTTTGCTGTTTCTATTGGGAGAATGGAATTGTGTATCCTTGTACATTTCTGCATGGGGGATGGGGTTGAGTGTTATATGCAGATGGCTCCACCCCCATTTGCACTACTCAGATAACCCTGACGACACAGATAAGCCTCCAAGTGGCCTCAGCGGCTCTCTAAAAGAATGCAAATGAACAGCTGTCTGTGAGGAGTATAAATCCTTCCATTCCCCACCATCTAGTCAGAGCGGAAGAAGCTTCTTGGATGAGAAGCGAAATTTCTTCAAAGAAAAACAAGAAAGTCCAGTTGCCTCATGAAAAATACACCTTTGGAATATGCATTGTATGGAAAACACAAAGAAGCCTCTCACAAAATAGGTTGCAGGGGTTCTCCAGGGACGTTGAATAGAAAAAGAGTAAAAATATAAAATATTTCTTCACACAGCCAATGCTGCTAAGAAAACTGCATGGGTGCAACTGTGGCAGGATTCACTTTTGAATGGATAAAATTGTTGACTTTAAATGATGATTTACATAGTATTAGCTGCTTGATTATTTGCTCATTTGTGTTTGTTTTTGCTTGCGTACTAAGGAACAACCATAAAATTCTTACATATTAAGAAATTTCAGCGTGTTTTAGTGTTCGTAATCGAGTTCAATCAACTGCATCATAGCATCACATGTCCAAAAAGAAGAAACCCAGCATACATATTCCAGCTTTCACTTTCACTTTACTGGATGGCTTTGGGATCTGTATCGAGAGCCAGAGGATAGGGAGAGTCCAGCAATATTTGAGGGTGAAGGTTCGTTCTCTGAGCCTGTGGGTTGGTTTCTGAATGTTTCATTACCAGGCTAGGTAACATTCTTCAGTGGAGTTTGGGGGATACAGAATACAGAATAACAGAGTTGGAAGGGACTTTGCAGGTCATCTAATCCAACCCTACGCACAAGCAAGAGACCCTACATTATTTCTGACAGATGGCAGTCCAGTCTCTTGAAAGCTTCCAGTGATGAAACTCCCACAACTTCTGAAGGCTAGTTGTTCCATTGGTTGATTGTTCTCACTATCAGGAAATTTCTCCTTAGCTCTAGGTTGCTTCTCTCCTTGATTAGTTTCCATCCATTGCTTCTTGGCTTGCCCTCAGGTGCTTTGGAGAATAGTTTGATTCTCTCTTCTTTGTGGCAACCCCTGAGATATTGGAAGATTGCTATCATGTCTCCCCTTGTCCTTCTCTTTACTAGACTAGCCGTGCCCAGTTCCTGCAACCATTCCTCATATATTTTAACCTCCAGTCCCCTACTCATCTTTGTTGCTCTTCTCTGCACATTTTCTAGAGTCTCCATATCCTTTTTATACATGGGCTTCGGGTGTGGGGGTGTCAGGTGAGAGTCTTGTGATGGGTCAGTTGTGAGTCATCAGTGAGGGGAGAGGGTTGCATGGGTTGGTTGAGGGTCAGTGCTGTCTGTGGTTGATTGTGCGGTTGATTTAGATTCTGAAGGATTTGTAGGCTAGTTGTAGGTCGATGTGTCTGTTGATGGAATTCCTTGTGGAGTGCCAGGTTTCATGAACTCACAAATGTGGCGAGTGGTAGCGTGGCCAATTATTTTTGTGTCGTTCCGACACTGACATCCTCTAAACTCTGCTGAAGATGTTACCTAGCCTGGTAATGAAACATTCGGAAACCAACCCGCAAGCTCAGACAACGAACCTTCACCTTCCTCCTACACCCGAGCTACAGATAATCACCACTATTGCAAACCAGCAATATTTATTAAGCAGATGAACATGGAGCGACTACAGGTAGACCACAATTGAGCCCAAAATTTCTGTTGCTAAGCGAGACATTTGTTAAGGTGAATTTTGCCCCATTTTATGACCTGTCTTGCCACGGTTGTTAAATCAATCACTGCGGTTGTCAAGTTAGTAACATGGTTGTTAAGTGAACCTGGCTTCCCTCGTTGACTTTGCTTCTCAGAAGATGGCAAAAGGCGGTCAACATGATCTCAGGACACCGCAACTCTCATACATATGAGTCAGTTGCCAAGCATCTGAATTTCGATCACGTGAGACCATGGGGATGCTGCAACAATTGTTTAAGTGTGAAAACTGGTCTGAACTCAACTTTTTTTCAGTGCTGTTGTAACTTTGAACAGTCACTAAATGAATTGTTGTAAGCCAAGGACCGCTTGAACCTCTATGCAGACTGTGGAAAAAGCAGGAAAGATAGAACACTATCTCTGAGACAAGTATTTGTGTCAAAAGTAAAGTATGATGAAAGGTGCTAATGGATACACAGCAACTTAATTAAAAAGTCCCTGACCAGTCAACCCAATACAGCACACGGAACACAAAACGCTAAAAAGAATTACACTGCCATACATCAAGAATATCTCCAAAACCGCAAATAGACTGCTACAACCACATGGAGTCAGACAGCACACAAGCCAACGAAAGCCCTTCCAAACATCCTAAGCAAACCCAAACACCCAGCAAGCACAGAAGAAAAATCAGGAGTCATCTACAACATACAATGTAAGAACTGCAACAACCACTGTGTAGGACAAACAGGCAGAAGAGACTGGCAGAACGCATCCCTGAACACCAACTGGCAGTCAAAAGGCATGACGAAACTTCACAACACAGAGACATATTTAACCATAGTTTCAATTGGGAAACTATGACAATCTTAGACCAGGCCAAATCCCAAAATGCCAGGGAATTTCTAGAACGGGTCACCAACCTGTGGTCCACCGCCCACTACCGGGCCGTGGGTTGTTGGCCACTGGGCCATGTAAGTGGCTAGCCAGTGTATGCGCATGTGCGTGCTCACCCCCCCCCAATAGCGCTAGCATTGCGGTGTCACACAGGCACTAGCAATGCTGTAAGCATCGGGTGCACACGTAAAGGCACCTCCACTCCCCCCCCCCCGGGCCACCAACCCAGAAAGTTTGTTCTGTTCTAGAAGCCTGGCACTCTGATAAATCAGAGAAAAAGACTCCACCAGTAATCAGCACCCAGATCAGCAAAGATTAACTCCACGGTCAACATCAGAGCAACGATCAAGTAAGCAACACCCCAATCAAGAAACTGCCGAAGAGCCATTAGTTAACATCCCAACCAAAGAATCCCTAAGACCACCTCTGGGAAGCCATGATTATTAAGAAAATCCCCTTTATTCCTAGATT